GGGGGTGTGTCAAAACATTATAGCTTATGCTTTTGTGTAGGCTATAGTGGGGTATCCCATAGGGGGTACAACCCAATTAGGGTTAGTACTTGTACCCACTTCATTCATAGTTCATTCATTCACGTTCACTCTTTCACACAAGACCATCCTCACCGGGAAATGGGTCTTCCGCATCAAAACCAAGGCAGATGGCACAATCGAGAAGTTCAAAGCACGCTGGGTCGTGCGTGGATTCGATCAGGAACACGGACGGAACTTCACCGAGACATTCGCCCCGGTTAGCCGACACACTTCACTCCGAATCCTCCTCGCGATCGCCGCCATGAAGAAAAGGAAACTACGGCAAATCGACGTCGCTAACGCCTTCCTCTACGCACCCGTCGACGCCGAAATCTTCGTCGAACTTCCACATGGTACCCACGGGGAACCTAACCAAGTCTGTCAGTTACTAAAATCGCTCTACGGAATCAAATAAGCCCCGCGGTTGTGGCAACAGCACCTACACATTCTTCTCACTCGCATCGGATTCCGCCAACTGCCTCACGACCAAGGAATGTACCGACTCACCAAAAACGCTGACTACATTCTGCTGATCGTCTACGTCGACGATTTACTCTACATCGGCTCTACTGACGACATAACCACCTGGTTCGAAGGAGAGCTGAAGAGGGACCTCACACTCACGGTCTCCTCTACCGTCACTCAGTACCTCGGACTCAACATCCGCGAAGAAGAGAACGCGATCTATCTCAGCACCGAAAAGTATGCCGACACTATCGCCAAACGCTTCGCACTCACACCTACTACTATCTCCACGCCATACCGCTACACGGTAGGGAACGACAAGGGAGGTCCCACTCTACTCAAAACCGCCGGAATACGCGACTACCAGAGAAAGCTGGGCTGCCTTCTCTTTGCGGCCGTCACCTGCCGTCCAGATCTGTCCTACTCCGCAAGTCCACTCGCCACCTACCTCAAGAAACCCGAAGCAGAACACCTGGCGGAGCTCGACCGCGCACTCCACTACTTCGTAAGCACCTCAACGATCGGTCTGACATACCACAAGAATACAACTACACCGACGAAACTAATCGGCTACGTCGACGCCGATCACGCCGGCGACTCAGACAACAGGCGTTCCCGCACTGGCTACATCTACCGCCTCGAACCTATCGGACCTATCTCCTGGCAATCGAGCAAGCAGGAACTAATTGCTCTCTCCTCAGCTGAAGCAGAATATATCGCACTCTACTCAGCCACCAAGGAAGGACTCTACCTTCGCGAGTTGCTGGAAGAAGCGAAGTTAGCCGAGATACCCAACTTCACTCTGTTCTGCAACAACCAATCTGCGATTCGCATCGCCAACAAAAGCGGATTCGCGAACAGAACAAAGCATATTGCTCTGCGATATTTCTTCGTGAAAGACGAGATCGAGAAAGGGAAACTCGAACTATCCTACTGTCCCACGTCCGAGATGGCAGCCGACTACTTGACCAAGAAGCTCGGAAAACAGAAGTTCGAGTACTGCATGTTGCTGACTGGACAAAGCCACGTCACCATCAGCGACACTCCAGAAGCGAAGGGGAGTGTTGGGAACAAATAGCCTTAAGCGCTTATGTCGTGTCGAAACTTCAAGACACAAGCGAAGCAGCGCAAATCGAAGCACCAGCGAGTCAACCCTCGGAGTTGATGTAACCGCTGGAGGTTACGAGAAAGTCAAAGGTCAGCGACCTTTGACTTGACAAAAGCAGCGCGACAGCAAGGACACACAACTGACTCGACATTGAGCAGTTGCCCGAGTCGCACTGTATCGAACTGCAACAGTAAAGTAGTTACAATTATGTATCTTCATATTCTATGTACTCATATATATATATTCTTGTATCTCTTCGTTTTAATCAACTTACTTTGCCCTCACATACTAGCGCAAGGTGGTTCAAGGACTTTATTCAAACGCTTCCGCTACTACATCGTTTACTCAACCTTTAACTCTACCAAAAGATCCTAGGGTGTCTCAGCCCAACAGGTCGAACCAGCCACAACCCCAATCATTTTTGGGTGCCCAACTTCATTGGCCCACCTTCAATGTTGTCTGCGCTTATCCAAATCACCAATAATTGCTACTATAGATATCTTTTTCTTTTCATTTGTATTTTTGGGAGAGGCAAATTTCGGACGGTGATCGTAGAACGACCAGGTTAGATTGGGCGCGTCTGAAGGCATACAAAACGGTTGAGTAGGTTTTCGAGGCTACAGGCGAGGGGACAGGGCAGCCCCATCTGACCCACCCACCTCACCAACACCATTTTCCCAAGAACTGGCTAACATGCTCTGCCACCGCGTTTCGCGGCGAAGCCTATTTCCTCTCCTGGTGCAGACACCATTGATCGGCGGGCGGCAATAAGTGCGCATAAGACCAGCCCGATCCGACCTCCCGCCTAATTATTCCGATAATTACTACCACCCACTGTCATTTTCCCGTGAAAGGGCCGGCATGCTCTGCCTCCGCGTTTCGCGCCGAAGCCGGCTTTCCTTTCCAGGTGCAGACACCGTCGAAGGGCGGAGCTCGGATCGCTCCTTACGGCAGCAAGTGTGCGCTTGCAGCGCGAAAGAGTCCTCTCACGGTGCCGCAGGGTTGCTAGTTGCTCCGGCTTCCGCAGCCCACGCCGACCCCTAGCCGAGGCAGGGAGAAGTCCTGAAACTCATGGCGCGCCGCGCTCGGGCGACGTGCGCTGCCAGTCCAGTATCGACCACATTGCCGAACACCACGTGTATATTACGCACGTACGTACAGCATCTCGTATAGCCCACGCTCGAGAACGGCCTCGCATTCACGACGCGCATAAGGGTACTAGCTTTCCGCCGTGAACTCCTTTTCAAGCCTGTCCGCGCGCTTGGTGCAACTGCAAACTCTCGCCATGGCGCTGCTTCGTGCCGCCTTTCTGCTGCTTCTCTCGCTCCTTCCTCTACTCGTCGCTCTCCACCTCCCCGCCGCCGTTTCCGCGACGCGCCTCCCCCCGGGCTTGGCGGGGACTCTCGCGGCGCGCCCCACGGCCGAGCAACAGCTGGCACCCGGCAGCGCGGCGGGCCTGGCCGAAGATGCAGCGCGGATCCGCGCAGCCGCGGCGCGCGGGGCAATAGCGGGCCGTGCTCTTATCGAGGACACAGAGGATGGGCCCCGCTCGACGGGCGCTCGAGTTCTGGCGGAGATCAAGGCGCTGCATTTTGCCACTGACACTGAAGGAGTGCGTGTTGCTGCGGATGCTGAGGCTGGCGCCCCAATTGGGCAGAGAGGAAGGGAGTTAATACTTGAAACTATTGCTTTGGGGGTGATGGGGGCGGTCAAGGTGGCCAAAGCTGCGGGGGTGGCGGCTGCGGCAAAGGCGGCGGCTGCGGCGGGTGCAGCAAAGGCGGCGGCTGCGGCGGGTGCAGCAAAGGCGGCGGCTGCGGCGGGTGCAGCAAAGGCGGCGGCTGCAGCAAAAGCAGCGGCTGCGACCAAGGCGGCGGTTGCGGCAAAAGCGGCGGTTGCGGCAAAGGCGGGAAAAGTGGCGGCAGTAGCGGGGAAGGCAGTGAAGACGGTAAAATCTGGGGGGGCTGCATTGAAAGCAGCCAAGACAGCACAGGTGGCGAAGGTGACAAAAGCAGTGAAGGCAACTAAGGTGGTGAAGGCAGTGCAGGCATCCAAGGCTGCCAAGGCTGTGAAAGCAGCAAAGGCGTTCAAAGCAGCTAAGGTGGCCAAGGTGACCAAGGCTGTAAAGGCGAGCAAGGCTGGGCAGTTGGTGCAAGCGGCCAAGGGGACCAAGGCTGCTAAGATGGTTGCTGCGGCGAAGGGGTCTAAGGCTGGCAAGGCGGCAATCAAGGCCAAGGAGATGTATGACAAGGCGAGTAAGGTGAGGAATGTTTACAACCGGCTGGCACCGGTCATCAGGGCGCCGCGGATTTAAATGGGTAGTTGGCAAGGCGAGGCAGGTTGAGAAGGTGGAGCTATCTGTGTGGTTCTCTCTATCTCATGGACAAGTCGCCACAAGCCACTCTGTGCTGGCAGGTGTTTGTGTGTGCGCTGAGTGTGGGAGGCAGGGCGTGTTCTTGTATGTGTGTGTGTGTGTGGGAGGACGGGGGAGGGAGGGGGAGGGGTGTGTGCGTGCGTGCGTGTGTCTGTGCATGTGCGTGTGTGGTGCGTGCGTGCGTGCTTTTTTGGTGTGTGTGTGTGTTTGTGGTGTGTGTGCGTGAGTTTGTGTGAGTGTGTGTGTGTGCGTGAGTTTGTGTGAGTGTGTGTGTGTGCGTGAGTTTGTGTGTGTGTGTGTGTGTGTGTGTGTGTGTGTGTGTGTGTGTGTGTGTTCGTGTGTGTGTGGTTGGCAATAAACACCCCTCTGTGAGCTGCCAACGAGCACAGTAAGGGCATTGGACGAGTGATGCATGGAGCAGAGGAAGGCAGAGGAGGGCAGAGGACGGATAGGAGGGCAGAGGAGGGCAGAGGAGGGCAGAGGAGGGCTGAGGAGGGCAGAGGAGGGTCGCTGAAAATTGAAGAGATGGCTGGAAAGGGAAGAAGTTCATTTAGCAGCTCTGGAGATTTTCTCGAACCTTCAATCTAAATGCTGTGAGGCTTTGTGGCCCTATACCCCCACTGCAGTACTGGTAGCTTATTAGCAAAGAATAGGAAGATCAGTTTCCCAAATTTGAAACCCTACTGTTAACAGAGCTCAAAGCACCCTCATCCTTGCTCTATGGAGAAATGTACTACGGTACCTAGTTTGTGAAGTATAGATCGTTTCCTTCCCTAGGTGCCCCCAAATCTTGGCAAGAATCAGCTTTCAGAAGGCCTAGGAAGTCGAATCGAAATGCATGCCTTCCTACCTGGGCTGGTCAGGTCAAAGACAAGAGAGGAAAAGCAAGAGCTACCAGTGGGTGCTGCTGGCTAGAGTGACAGGAGCAGCCTGACCCAGCAGATGGTACATGGCACAGTAAACTCTGACACCTGGTTGGAAATCACCTGGTACTGCTCATGTGAATATCTTCAATCCATACATCTGGTTGACGCTCCTGGGGAGCACAGACCCATCAGTGTCAATCACATGGCCACACCCTTGCACATCCAGCCTCTGCAGTCCCTTGAGCTCACTCAACTCCTCTGGCAACACCTGCAGCCTCGCACAGCCAGTCAAACAAAGGGACTTGAGCCGTGTAAGCTGAGCAAAGCTGGGACACAGGGCGCGGATGGAGCTGTGCGGAATCGACAGCTGGTTCAGGCAGGTAAGCTGGGTGAGAGAGGGCAGCAGGTCGTCAAGTTGCTCGCAGAGAATGAGTTGCAGCTGCCGCAGCCGGGATAAGGCACCGATGCCACGTGGAAGGGAAGCCAGTTGGGGTGCAGAGTGAACCTCCAGGGACGTGAGGTTCTGCAGCGCACTCACACTCGCTGGCAGCTCCCTCAATTCCTCCGCACATTTCAGCTTCAGCCTCCGCAGCTGCTGCAATGCTGATCCCATATCTCCCCATGCCGTGAACAATCAGGGTGCGCAGCTGAGAAAGAAACGTCAAGGGGAACGGGAGCTCCTCGGAATCATCTGCCAGAGTCAGCATTAAATGCTGCAGATGAGATAGGCGCCTGCCCACAGCAAGCCCATCACACGCCACAGCAACCCGGTCCAGGCAAAGCGTCCGAAGCCCCGTCAGCCTGGAAACGTCGGGGAGAACCATCGCGTGCCTGTAGCTTCCCCAGCTGAGCGTTTCAAAGGGAAACCGGCAGGAGTAGAGGAGGATATTTCAACATGTCACACGAGGCTACCTCAAGCTGCTTCAGCCGCGTAAGGCCATCCAACCGTGTGGGCGCGAAGGCGAGCTTTCTGCAGTCAGAGAACGTGAGGGCTTCAAGGCGCGTCAGGCGCGTTACAGACGCTGGAACGGCCGTGAGATGAGAGCAGGAGGAGATGTGCAGCTCCCGCAGGTTGCTCAGCTCTCCCACGCCCTCTGGAAGCCGTTCCACACCGCACAGGCCCAGCTCAAGCCTCGTCAACGAAGATATGTCAGTCAGCGAGGAAGGGAGATAACGCTGCTGACAACTGTCCCTGACAAGAAGGGTCTGGAGATTACTCAGGCGCCCAATGTCCGCTGGAAGCGCCACTTGCCCGAGGCAGAGTGTCGTGAGAGCCATGAGGCAGCAGAATCCTGCTGGCAGCTCACAGATGGGCTCGCACCAGAGCAGGAAAAAGGTCTCCAAGGCGCTGAGCTGCTGGATGGAGTCAGGGAGGCTCGAAAGCGGCAGCTGCTCCAGAACCAGAGTTTTCAGGGCAGACAATCTCCCAATGTTTTCGGGCAGGCTGCGAAATTGGCGGCACTGGAAGAGTGACAAGGTGTGGAGGTGGTTGAGGTGACACCCGCAGGCAGCTCCTGGAAGAGATCGCAACGGCAGATGGTGAGCTCACGGAGACGCGCAGCAGCTCTGCAATGTCGTCCGGAAGTCGCTGCAATTCTCTGCAATCTGATACGTGCAGCCGTTCCAGACTTGTGCATGGCCAATCGGAACGCAGCATCTGGCTGGTCTCCAGCGATTTTATAAAAGGTAACTGTGCGATGGTGAAGGCAGCCGATCCCGTGTTAGCAGGGGGAAAGCGGGTCCGGACAGAGATTGAAAGGCGGGTAACGCTGCGAAGTCGACGCACATTTGAGAGTTGCTCACTGGTCAACTCCGCGGAGGCGATGTGGAGAGCGGTGAGAGAGGAGAGGCTTTCCAGGTCTGGAGATCCTAAGGCGGGAGGCGACTGTTAAAGCCAGGGTGTGTAGACGCGTCAGGTGGAAGAAAGAAGGCGGTAGCTCAGCGTTTCGATGGAGGCAGAGGAGTGAAAGCTGCTCCAGCTGAGTGCATTGCTGGAAGAACCGATCCAGGCCAGCATCGGTAATAGGGTGATCATGCTTCGATCCCACATAGTCCGGATGCTGCGTGATCCGTCTTCCCACGTGGAGAATCGTCAGTTTGGGACACGACGATGCGAGGTGAGCGAGGAAGGTGTCGTCTAAGTTTTCCACGCTGCCGTCGCACAGATGGAGATGTGTGAGGTTCGGGAAGCAAGCGACGGCGTTCGAGAGGTCTTGGAGAGAGACAACATGATTTCGTTCAATACGGAGGGTGGAGACGTCACGCTTAGCTAGATCGCGCCACCGACGGCACACGGACGAATGAGGAAGATCCTGGCTGTGTTTGGAGCGGCAGAGGGAGTCGAAATTGGAGTCGTCTCTTCCTCGGGATCGGAATCTTCGTCTAGAAGGACCGAGGAAAGGTACTGAGGCTTCGGCCACAATGAAAGGCGAGACCATAACGCGTCACTATCGGAATTCCAAGATGTGCACTCCTTAAACTGCCATAGTATCCTGGCGAGGACGTCGTTGGGAAGGTCGTTAATATTGTGTCGCCGACTGCATTTCTTTCGGCGAGATTATGGTGGAGAGGTTGACAAGAGAACGAGATGAAGTGACCTCGAAGCCTAGCCTTTGTTTAAAAACGAGATCAAAGAACGAGTGTGACGTGAAAACGGAAAAGCAGTGGAGGTCAACACTCAGCATTCTCTCAAATGCCTGCAGAACAGCAGGCGAGTTGGATTGTGAGCGGCAGTCTTCTGAGTGGTGCCCCACGGTGGTAGTGGCTCCATAGCTGACAGCATTTCATCAGGTCAGAAGGGGCAAACCGACTTGGGAAGGACGTGCAGGAAATGGGTCGAGGGCGCTATTCGACAGCAATGAAGTCCAGGTATCTTTAGGGGCGTGTTGCAAGTTCGAAAATCTAAGAATTGTGCAGTTCACCGATCCCTTGTTGGAGATCCTGGGCTCAGTGCGTGATCGATCACTGTACTACGACCGCCCAAGCGTACTACCACCTAGAGTATTGCGACAGTGTGGTTTCGCTTTTCAAACGCAGAAACAATGAACACCCTGTTCGCCACTGTCTCGTCATGCGAGTGTTTCTGCGCATGGCGAAATGGTTTCGTAACTGTATGTTGTCTGCCTCGTCAATCTCACGATCGATCTTCGTGGCGAGGCGATCGTCATGGTTTCCGCCAATCTTCTCGGTTGTGCACAGTGGCAACACTGTAGTATGGTATCCTTTCGCTACAGTGGTCGACCACAGTGAGGTTCGGTTCGAAGAGGCCGTCGATCCTTTACTTGCAAGACGCCCTTAGTGGAAGCAGAGTCTAGTTTTGGCTCGGAAAAAGGTTCGGCTCCTGCAAATCACGTGCGAACCCCCTGCCACACAATATGGAAGCTTCAATCCCTTCCCGCCTGCGAATGCCTGCAGAACAGCACATTTCGAAGGACATTTTTTTGCCGGCAATACAGTGTTGTACGCGGTGAAAACATGTGCAACTGATTACAAACATAGAAGCCAGAGATACTAATCATACTATGGATGCATCAGACAAAATAAAAGAAAGTAGCCTCACCACACAATACAGGTTATGTTCAAGCAAGGTAACCACACCCATATGTACAGTCCGTTCTCAGTGTACACAGCAGATGTCCCCGTTAAAAGTTGTTGGAATAACCGAATGGTTATAAAAAGGCATTCCCAAGATTCGCCTAAACGCATCAGTTCATAACGAACCTGCTCAGCTCATGTACCAGTAACGAATTCTTGAATTTCTTACTTCGCAACCGTCTCCATCCAACGCATACGGTACAATACAACACTGTGCACCCGACCTCGACCGTTCTTTGGCTGTTACCAGCCACCAGTGTCATTTGCACTGTGCACCTACTTTCACCAAACCTTGCCGCCAGGCCGCATCGGCCTACGCAGGGGGCCATTCACGAGGCAGCAGGTGGGCCTTGAAGCGGCAGCAGCTGCTTGGCTGAGAGGTTGGCGAGTGAGTCGGCTACGATGCGCGCGTTATTGGGCTGGTACCCCCCTGGAGACAGGGGACAGGAATGAGGAAAGAGGGAGATGACACGATGTTTGAGGCGCCAAAGAAGCGTTATTGGTCTGGTACCCCCCTGGAGACAGGGGTAGGAGTGAGGAGAGAGAGGAAGGGGGAAGGGCAGTGGAGGTTGGAGGGAGCGTGGATGGTGCAGGATGGGAGCGGCAGTTATCCAAGGCATGGCATGGCGATGGCCGCAGCATGGCGATGGCAGCAGCATGGTGATGGCAGCAGCATAGCGATGGCAGCAGCATGGCGATGGCCGCAGCATGGTGATGGCAGCAGCATGGTGATGGCAGCAGCATGGTGATGGCAGCAGCATGGTGATGACAGCAGCATGGTGATGGCAGCAGCATGGTGATGGCAGCAGCATGGTGATGGCAGCAGCATGGAGGTACTGAGGTGAGCATGAAGGAGGGGTACTGGAGGTGAGCATGAGGGGAAGGGTACTGGAGGTGAGCGTGAGGGGGAGCGTACCGCTGCTGCTCGGCCTACCGGAGGTGAGCATGAGGATGGGTGTGGAGTGGCTCCTGGCGAACTGGAAGACCATCTCATCCCGCCTCTGCACTCCCTCCGCTGTCACCTGCTCGCCCCCATGCCATGCACACACGTGCATGTGGCCGATGGAGGGAGAGGGAGGGAGGGAGAAGAGGGAGAGAGGGAGAGGGATAGAGGGTTGGAGAGGGAGAGGGAGAGAGAGGGAGAAAGAGCAAGCCAGAGTGAGAAAGAGCAAGCAAGGGTACGAGAGGGATGTTAGTTGCATGCATAGAGGCAGTAAGAGTGAGACGCATTTCACGAGAGGAGGATGATGAGGGGGTGCAGAAGAGGAAAGGGGGCAACAGGGCATCAAGGCTCACAGCTGCAAAGGCATGAGCCATTATATGTGTTCAAGAAACGGCCACAGTAGCTTCTTATAGACACACCCACTGTAGCTTCCTATGGCAACACCTGCTATAGCTTCTCGTAGCAACGCCCAAACTTAGCTTCTAAATAAGAACACTTGCTATAGCTTTCTGTAATAAACTCACTATAGATTCTAATAAGAAAACTTGCTATAGCTGATTGTAGTAACACTCACTACAGCTTCTTAAAGAAGCACCACTACCCTTCTACATATAACCAAACCTCTCCATCCTCCCATGCCCCCACCCCCCACCGCCCCTCCTTGCCCCCACCACCCCTCGTTGCCCCCACCGCCCTCCTCCTTGCCACCACCCCTCCTTGCTCCCACCACCCTCCTGTCACTCTCACCGCAAGTCTACCGAGAGGGTCGTTGGGCGCGAATGTCGGTGCCGGCGTTGTAGATGAGCAGATCCGCGTGGAAGGCTGCTGCTGCCACCTGCCATGGGGTGGGTCAGGTGGGGGATAGGTGGAAAAGAGGGAGGGAGGGGAAGAAGTGTAGAGGCTCAGCGCCGGATGTCGGTGCCGGCATTGTAGACGAGTAGATCCGCGTG